ACAGGAGTAGGATCAGTAAGCGATATATTGATGTATAACAGAGAGAGATTATAAGAGTAGTATCAGTCTTCTTCTTTCATCTTTTCTCTACATCCGGAACGCCTCGCAGCATCAGGGATCAGTAAAATATGTATTGCTGTATAACTGAGACGGAATTCAAGAGAAAACCTCAATAGATCAGGGTACACGACAGAGACGGCGTGACTAGATCAGGGTACACGACAGAGACGGCGTGACTAGATCAGGGTACACGACAGAGACGGCGTGACTAGATCAGGGTACACGACAGAGACGGCGTGACTAGATCAGGGTATACGACAGAGACGGCATGAATAGATCAGGGTATACAACAGAGACGGCGTGACTAGATCAGGGTACACGACAGAGACGGCATGACTAGATCAGGGTACACGACAGAGACGGCATGACTAGATCAGGGTATACAACAGAGACGGCATGACTAGATCAGGGTATACAACAGAGACGGCATGACTAGATCAGGGTACACAACAGAGACGGCATGACTAGATCAGGGTACACGACAGAGACGGCATGACTAGATCAGGGTATACAACAGAGACGGCATGACTAGATCAGGGTATACAACAGAGACGGCATGACTAGATCAGGGTACACGACAGAGACGGCATGACTAGATCAGGGTATACAACAGAGACGGCATGACTAGATCAGGGTACACGACAGAGACGGCATGACTAGATCAGGGTACACGACAGAGACGGCTCGACTAGATCAGGGTACACGACAGAGACGGCATGACTAGATCAGGGTACACGACAGAGACGGCGTGACTAGATGAGGGTACACGACAGAGACGGCTCGACTAGATGAGGGTACACGACAGAGACGGCTCGACTAGATCAGGGTACACGACAGAGACCGCGTGACTAGATCAGGGTACACGACAGAGACCGCGTGACTAGATCAGGGTATACGACAGAGACCGCGTGACTAGATCAGGGTACACGACAGAGACCGCGTGACTAGATCAGGGTACACGACAGAGACCGCGTGACTAGATCAGGGTATACGACAGAGACGGCTCGACTAGATCAGGGTACACGACAGAGACGGCTCGACTAGATCAGGGTATACGACAGAGACGGCATGACTAGATCAGGGTACACGACAGAGACCGCGTGACTAGATCAGGGTATACAACAGAGACCGCGTGACTAGATCAGGGTATACAACAGAGACCGCGTGACTAGATCAGGGTATACAACAGAGACCGCCTGACTAGATCAGGGTACACGACAGAGACGGCGTGACTAGATCAGGGTATACGACAGAGACGGCGTGACTAGATCAGGGTATTCGACAGAGACGGCATGACTAGATCAGGGTATACGACAGAGACGGCCGGGTAGAGTTTTAGGTTTTTTATCTCTGGGATTGAAGAGACATTTCACACTGTGACGGGCATCATTTCACAAACTATCGAATGAATAAACAATGAAATACAACAGTAGTGACACAATGTCAGAGTGTAGATAAAATAGTTGGAATTAATAACACAGCTGTCTCAATCTTAAAAAGACTGATTCATTACGGACAAAGTTAACAACAAACTAAAAACAAAATAATGTAAAACACAAACGTAATGATTTAAACACAAACTGAATTATATAAAACACGGACATAATAACTTATAACGCAAACAGTATATTTTAAAAACCATTACAAAAATTAAAACACAAATAGGATCATTTAAAACACACAGAATCATTGAAAACAACATTTTTTAAAACACAAACATGATAATATCTAACACATAAAAGATACAGAAAATGAACTGTCAAGATACTTAACTGTCGGACAGATGAATTTAAAGAAGAACGGTACATGTCATTCATTCTGAGCCACAGACTATGCTTGTATAAGGCCGGCTAGTATTCGACCTTGACATAACCAAGCATACTGAACGACTATGTAGGGCTTTCAGCGGTTTCCCTCGCCGCCGCCATCTTTCACTCATTGGCAACTTCTATTTGATTCTATACATTTCCTGGTAGACAGTTTGTGCCATGGGTCGACCCCAGACGCCTGGAAATGGTTCGGATAGACAGGAGAGTCGTGCCTTGAAACTTCGTAGACAAAATTCAAGAGTTGGGCCACCTTATTCCTCATGCCAAGTTTAGCATTACCAATATGGTCGCGGGCCGTGTGTTAAAAAAAAAAAATCTATTATAAAAATAACACCTAGATTTCCGCATAACGCTGTATTGTTATGGAATAATCTAGGATAACAATCCCTCGCTACAACTCTGTTCCGACATTCTCCCACTGAAGCGCTCCTGTATATTCCTATATGTCCCTATTTAATGTTTTTTTTTTTTTTTTGTAGAAATCATATTACTGAAAAACAAAAACAAAAAGTTATGTTATGTTATGTTATCCCAATCGACATATTTGCACATTGGACATCCCCAAGCGTGCTCAGTCCTCCGATGCAGCAGCCACTTCAAGGTACCTCTACTTATTGTTCCCATGAGGAGTTGCTTAACTTCTCTGTCACGAAGTGTTAGCGTCAGAGATTCGCCATTATCTAGGTGGGGGAGGGGGGCGGGGGGGGGGGGGTGATTACATAATATTTTACACTACCCTAACAGGCTGAAAAACAAAAACAAAAAGTTATGTTATGTTATGTTATCACAATCGACATATTTGCACATTGGACATCCCCAAGCGTGCTCAGTCCTCCGATGCAGCAGCCACTTCAAGGTGCCTCTACTTATTGTTCCCATGAGGAGTTGCTTAACTTCTCTGTCACGAAGTGTTAGCGTCAGAGATTCGCCATTATCTAGGTGGGGGAGGGGGGGGGGGGGTGATTACATAATATTTTACACTACCCTAACAGGCCAGTACAAAGTGCTGAACGGGCCAGTTTTAGCTAGAAGGCCATAATTTGCCTAGCCCGCTGAGTACATTTTCCAGGAAAGTGCTGAGACAAGTACGAGAAACAAGTTTCACCTATTCTGCCAGAAACCTCGCCAGTGCTTTCCCATAATTCTCAGCATTGATAAAACCCCAGGCAGAAACAGCATGGGTGTGAGAACGGGCAAGATAATGCCTGATGTGCCCAGATAGGCTGCTCTCAGGTTTATCAACATGAAAGGCTGGCGGCCAGTCATGGAGTACGCGCTGCTGCAACCAACCGTAGCTCAGTTCTCATCACCATCTTATATTGGTTTGGAATAATTCCACTTTCTGACAACAGCCGATGAAAAACACCCAGCAGATGATAAGGAAAATAAATAGACAGTGACGGTTGCAAGTGTGTGCCGTTTGTCTGCACATTTTAGTTGCTTTGAGCTATGAGTAAAGGACTGACAGCATAGCCATCGGGGTATTCCCATAACCGCGCTGCCTCCATCTTTAGCAGCAATTTTCTGTCTAAACTGTAGGCTTATGCATGGCAGAATGTTAAGCTTCGAAGTTATTTTTGCACCCGACAGCGCTTTGCTAACGCAGTTTGCACATATGGACGGCAGTGAATGGTTTCGCTGCCTAAGCAACTGAACTTAGTGCTTGGTGTAGCCATGTGAGCTGTGTTTCATTTGTGCAGCGGTTATGTCGTGGTAATCAATATGGCCAGCAGCCGGTTTACGTGTGGGTTGGTGAAATACCTTATGTAATAAATCTGTATAGCCAATTTAACGTGCGCGACTACTTCTATCAATGACAAACTGCATTGCTGGTGTCGACTGTTGGCTTTGGCGCGTCTAGCAACTGACATTTGCATTTACTGAGTGCGCATATTTCTGGATTGCTCCGGGACTAATTGTTTGTTTATCAGTTGTTCAGATGCGACAATGAGGGACATTTCATATGGTTTGCACTGGCACAGGAACGGAGCAAGTATGCGGAAACCCAGTTGCAGCGAAGTTGAAACCTCGACTGCCTCTCAGGTAGCCAGTGCAAAGTTACAATTCCAGTGGTGCTAGTAACAGTCTGAATGTAGGTCCGTCTCGCCTTTCCCTTGGGTATTGATCGTCGACCAGATTCCCTGCTAACACCTCGCTGAACCATCCTGTTCATACCGTATTCATCTATTTAAAACTCCGCTTTGGTTACTTGCTCCCAAAGGACCCCTACAACACCTAGCTTGTCATGCAGCTGTCAAACGGCTCAGTCCGCACACATTAAACTACCAGTTACTTCGTTACCGTTCTGTGGTACCCCAATATAAGTAACACAAGGACCCTTTTCCGCGCCCTGAGGCAAATTGGGCACATAGGGCTAGACCGATATTTCAAGACCACTCAGGCCCTTGGTGACTGATATGGTCAGCATCACGCCAGCCGCCTTTACTTCCAAGGAAACCACCTGGTACCTATTCAAGGTTGGGTCGACCTGGGAGACAAGGTCATTTTTGCACAAAATGACGGTACCCTGGGAACCTAAACCCACCACCTTTCTGCATGCTAGCGTCTAGCCACTACACTGCGGTGGATCTCGTGCCACGCTTTAACTGTGTTATATGGCTATACGGTTTAACAGGGCTACCGTGATTGGTATCGGTTTGATTCACATCCGTGATATGTTAATCCTACAGAAAAGTATCTTTCTTTTAAAAAATGCAGATGTATTTCTCTTTTAGCCAGTTGCTCGGTATTTATTAATTCAGTCAACATACTATCTGTCTGTTTGTCTGTCTGTCTGTCTGCCTGCCTCCCAGCCTGTCTGTCTGTCTGTTTGTCTGTCTGCCTGCCTTCCAGCCTGTCTGTCTGTCTGTTTGTATCTCTGTGTCTATCTGACTGCTTGTCTGTTCAAACATTTTATGGTTTCGTTCTGTGAACAAGAATCGTGTTCAGATCAGCTTTGTGTGTCTGTGTGTGTATACATCAATGTGTTTATCTGTCTAATTCAGTGTGTGTGTGTGTGTGTGTGTATACATCCGTGTGTTTATCTGTCTGTGTCAGTGTGTGTGTGTGCACAATTAACCAGTTCTCACCTGCATATATCTCTATCCACAGTGCCCAGCTCCTCCCAAATGTGCGCCCCGCACTTCCACAGCCCCTTGCACCCATGGATTCCAGACCGGACCAAGTCCATGGTGCCACATGCCCACTCAGGCTGGATGGGCTCAACATTCGGCCCCAGCAAGTCCCTGGCTCACCCAGGCTCGCATGCGTCACTTCTGGTTCATCCCGCCACGTCGTCGGCAATCGTCACATCATCATCCTTTTCCTTCCCCCCTACACCGCCTAAAGACGTTACCCCGGAGACGAATAACAACATCAGTAGTAACAACAACAACAACAACAGTGTGAATAGTGGTAGTGGCAGTTCCACGAACAACAACAACAATACGAGTTCTTCTAATGTAGGTGGTCTTATGAACAGCGGGGAGGGATATAGTCTCGTGGACTACAAGCCTCCTGGTTCATCCCTCAAACTGGAATCCTCCATGACTACCGACGGCATCCCCTCTTTCTTGGCACCTCATGGGCACCACGCCACGTCAGGACACACCGCCCACCCGGTGGCCACCTACCCGTCTTACATGGGTAGCGACCACTACAGCAGTGGTGCGCTGGGGTTCCACACTGGCAGCGTGTTCAAGTCGTCATCCTCGTCCTCATCGTTGTCTAACAGACCAAGGGCTAAAACCAGATCAAGTACGGGTAAGTTATCTTTTATTTCATCGCCGTCTTCATCATCATTATCGTCGTTTTCCAGATGGGTGCCGGGACTCCATATTGGGGAACAAAGAGTAGACCCACTGCCTCCCTAACAAGCATGTCGTAGGAGGCAACTATTTAGGTGGAGTATATTTGAAACCGGAGTGCATCTGAGTGAGTTGCAAGGAACCAGTAGTCTGCGTACACATAAGTCAGATCTGTGAATCCGATGCGCACCTACAATCAAAGTCCGGGAACAAGACTAAATCCCAAAAGTGAACAAACAACCAGTATTTTCCGCCGGAGTTTACGCAGGTGAACGCAAAGAAGAAGGAGGAGGAGCAGTAGAAGAAGAAAATGTCCTGAGAAATAACTGCGCCGTTAAAAAAATTAACACATCACCACTAAATATAAATTCACCTTTACGAGAAATCTGCAACTTTTTCAAGTCGCGGCCCCCTTGAGTATGTGGCAAGATCCCCCAGACCCCGCTGAGTAAATAGCAAGATCCCCCACACCCCGTTGAGTATATAGCAAGACCCCCCCCCCCCGCCTACCCCGTTGAGTATATGGCAAGACCCTCTCCCTCAAATCCCCCACCCCGTTAAATATATGACAAGAAGCCCCCCCCCCCCGATCCCTCACCCCGTTGAGTATATGGCAAAAAGCCCCCTCCCCCGATCCCTCACCCCGTTGAGTATATGACAAGAAGCCCCCCCCCCCCCCCCCCCCCCCCCGATCCCTCACCCCGTTGAATATATGACAAGAAGCCCCCCCCCCCCTCGATCCCTCACTCCGTTGAGTATATGACAAGAAGCCCCCCCCCCCCCCGATCCCTCACCACGTTGAGTATATGACAAGAAGCCCCCCCCCCCCCCGATCGATCCTCACCCCGTTGAGTATATGAGAACAAGCCCCCCCCCCCCCCGATCCCTCACCCCGTTGAGTATATGACAAGAAGCCCGATCCCCCACCCCGTTGAGTATATGGCAAGGACCCTCCACCCCTCCCCTACCCCGTTGAGTATATGGCAAGACCCCCATCCCTCACCCCACCCCCTCAATAACTCACCCCGCTGACTATATAACAAAATTACCTCCAACCCCGAGTATATTACAAGATCCCCACACCCCCACCCCCCCCACCCACGCCACTTAAATTTATGGTAAGAGCAACATTCCAACAACATTAGACAGCATCTCAGCACAACATTACATTTTCCCAACAATAGACAACAACAACACAACATTACATAACATTATTCCAACATTAGACAACAACAGCACAACATTACATAACATTATTCCAACATTAGACAACAACAGCACAACATTACATAACATTATTCCAACAATAGACAACAACAGCACAACATTACATAACGTTATTCCAACAATAGACAACAACAGCACAACATTACATAACATTATTCCAACAATAGACAACAACAGTACAACATTACATAACATTATTCCAACAATAGACAACAACAGCGCAACATTACATAACATTATTCCAACATTAGACAACATCAACACAACATTACATAACATTATTTCAACATTAGACAACATCATCACAACATTACATAACATTATTTTAACATTAGACAACATCAACACAACATTACAGCACAGAATGCGGTCACATAATGCCACCACACATTAAGATAAAATCTTTACATGAAATCATTAAACCCGGTAAAACACTTTTACACAGCTACATAGAAGACTTTGAATCCCCGCCCATATCTGTTTACTAGACATTAGTAAACAAACAGCATATTTTCACATGGCAGCTGGAGCCATATGGTGCTATGATTATACAATAAAAAAAAATAAAAAAAAGTAAAGACCCCTTTTCTCGCCCTTAGGCGCATCGAGTATATGGGAAGAGCGCCCATAGTTTTTCAGACCATCTGCACAAGGTGGGTAATGTGATCAGCATTACGCCGGCCGTCTCTACTTCCCCAGGACAGCAATCCTGGTACCCATTTTAGGCTGGGTCGACCTGCGACGCCCCATACCATGATAAAAATCCACGCAGCCAGCAGTGGGTTTCGATCACAGTACGTGGAACTACGAGTCGGACTCGCAACGCCTAACCCACGGACGCCGCTGATTATATAATAGTATCATATAAATATATGTGATATCATCCCACGTACATATCTGACATTATCACACGCAAATACATGTGAAATTATCATACCCATATAGATGTGACATTAGCACACACAAATGTATGTGACAATATCACACAAAAGTTATCTGACATTAGCACACACACACAAACGTGACATCGTCACACAAATATATGTCACATTATAATACAAATATAGGATATTATCACGCAGATATATGTGACATTATCACACATTAACATAAGTAACATTATCGCAAAAATATATGTGACATTATCGCACACAAATATATGTGACATTATCGCACACAAATATATGTGACATTATTACACACAAATATATGTGACATTATCACACACAAATATATGTGACATTATCGCACAAATATATGTGACATTATCGCACACAAATATGTGTGACATTATCGTACACAAATATATGTGACATTATCACACACAAATATATGTGACATTATCGCACAAATATATGTGACATTATCGCACACAAATATATGTGACATTATCGCACAGATATATGTGACATTATCGCACAAATATATGTGACATTATCACACAAATATATGTGACATTATCACAGACAATACTGAGATTAGGAAACATTCACATATTTTTGGATATGCAGATTAATACGCATTCAGTATTTAGGAATAAAGACATTATGATCAATTCCAATTTTAATAGAGAGATATTATTTTACATTCTAATATTTAGGAATAGAGATATTATTTTACATAGTAATATTTAGGAGCAAAGATATTTTATTAAATTTCAATTTTTAGGAACAGAGTGACATTAGCACACAAACATGTGACAATAACACTCAAATATATGTAACATTAACACACACATATGTGACAATAACACTCAAATATATGTAACACTAGCTGTACCCGGCCACGCGTTGCTGTTGCATAGTTTGGCTAAATGGAAATGAAAGAAAATAGAAATCGCACGTGTCTAATACAATCATTGTCTGCTCAGATATAGAGATAGTCTTTGATCCCCACCCCACCACCCCCCACCCCCAACTAAATCCACCTACTACCCTTCCCCTTATCAAATTTATTTCATTACCCCCCCCCCCTCCCCTCCCCTCTTCCACCGACTACTGCTTTCTCCCTCTTCGAAATATTTGAAAATCATTACCTGGCGATATTTTGTTGTTGCTGTAACTTACATTGACATCCCTGTCCATCTGGACTAAAATGGGGAGCAGGTATTGTAATAGGTAGTGAATGGGGCTAGTGTAATATTTACCACATCATCCTTCAAGTACCAGTACAACTACTAAAATAATGTCACTGCTATCTGTGTTACCATCGGAGTAGACAGAGAGTCGTGAGCCAGAAGATTTGGTTCCGCATGGCTAGTGCTGTCGCCACAGACTGGTCAGGTTAGGATGTATAATTTCACTTGCCGACAGAAGAACGCCATAACCTTACCGGCGGTCTTCACATGAGAGCACTATGGTGTAACAGCCCAACCACAACTATTACTACTGCTGCTACTTTAAGTGGGTAAAGCAGTTACTGTGACTTAAAGCTCTCTCAGTAAATAGTTCCCCCCCCCCCCCCCCCCCGCTCCCAAATTCACCGACAACTCTTTCCCTCATTGAAGTAGTTAGGAGGAAAAAAATAAAAACTTGAAAAGCAAATGAACACAGAAAAAAAAAAAAAAACCATAATTAGGAAATGAACGCCATGGTAAACAGCACAGCTTAAAATTCCAACGCAGATGAAATAACTAAATCTAAATGAAAATAAATGAAAATCTATAAAAATTTCAGCGTAACCATGCAATCGGAAAGTTTAATAATGCAATCATAAGTATGCGAAATGGTCAAATTTAATTATCAAATGGTTTACCCATTTACTTTTCTTTTCTTTTTTTAAGGCAACATGGCTAGTGCTGTCACCACGACAGAGCAGATGAGAATATTATTTTAGTCCGGGGTAAAAAAAAATTAACTACTGCGGATTCGAACCCAGGTCTCCCGCACAGGAACCCAGTGTTCTAACCATTCGACCAAGCAGCCACTTAATCGAATAGGAAAAGAGAACTTAGCAATTAGAGATGTGTGTCCCTACTTCTGTGTCCTGATTAAAACACAATTCAAAACCGCAGGCAATTGTTTTCTTGTAGACAGATACTCCAGATATATTAACGAAACGGCACAACAATAGAAATGGCACGTGTCTAACACGGTTAATGAAGTTAATGTCGCAGTCAATGTCTGCGCCGACGTCGAGATAGTCCTTGATCACCCCCCCCCCCCCCCCCCCCCCAATCGAAGGTTGTTTGAAAAAAAAAAAAAAATAGAAATCGTGTTTAATATGGTTATTGTGGCAAATATAGAGATAGTCTTGTTTGCTGTACCTAGACCTACTCTATGTATTAGAGAAGGCGTTGGCTGCACGTAACTCGCCGGCGAATGGCGGAAGCCTTGCGTTCTGACTACGGCGGCGCATGCGCAATTACTAACGTGGCTATAATTAGAAATCACTAAAGTTATAAATATTAGTTGCGTATATTATTGCATAAATTGTGGTCACCTATCTCTAACAGTGACAGGTTGAATTTCAAACCACGACAGTTCAAAATCCGGTATCACAACAAACATATCCTGAAAATTTCAGCTAAATCGGTTCAGTAGTTTCCGAGTCTATAGGGGTGAAACAAACACACAAACATTAATTTTTATATATATAGATTATTAACACTATTTTACATTCTAATATTTAGGAGATTGATATTATTATTTCAGTCTAATATTTAGGAATAGAGATATTATTTTACATTCTAATATTTAGGAATAGAGATATTATTTTACATTCTAATAT